ATTGAATGGTGTCAAATACAAGGACTTCTGTTGGTACAACCTACTGCTTATTTAGACCATATCAGTTACAACATTAAACTGCATGCAAACCAAATAATCCAAACCCCAGAATTGTTTTTTGTTTGAGAAGTATGTAACTATTTCAATTTACAACAGTCTTACAACTGCTTCTGTCAGCTCAAGATGGTAGAGGGTGTGTATCACCCCTGTAGCTTATTTCTGTTTGGTAAACTGGGGGTATTACCACATACCTCACGTTACAACCCTTCCTGGTCCGCACCATGATTGTATGTAGATCAATCGTTGAAACAATGTAGATGAGGCATAATCAGGTTAGATTTTTACTAAGATAAATAAAGAACACTAAAAGAACAAAACCAAAAGGTACAAAAGGTAGGGTAGACTAAAAGTAATAGAAAACATTTATCAAGAACATTTGTATTTATTTTACCTTTCTAAAAATATCTAATTGTGATTTTTCTGACTAATATTCTGACTGCGATTTAAATTGCGATTATTTTCCTATAAATTAAGGTTCAGGCCTGTTTTTTGGCCAAGAAGACCAGAAAATCAACGTTTCTGGCTTGAGGCTTGAGCCCTGGAAGTTGTGTGCCAGACTGCCAGTAAGTTGTAGTTGTGAAATCACAATGATTAATCTTTCAGCCCTAGCAGATGTGCAGTTTCAGTGACAGTTAAAATTCCTTGTTTTACCTTACTTCAGTAAATTCACACTGTGAAGAAAGAAATGTGAGTAAGCTTATTGTGATTTATTCATTCTTGACATTATGTTATGTACTACAACCCACCCATTTTGGTTGGCCATGACAAAAAACTAGTGTACATTTTACACATCAAATTCAAATGTTTTAGACCAAGATGCAAAATGTTACTTTCTTGCCTCAAAATTGTTTTTTGTAATGGAAATATGTCAGTGTTTCGCATAAGTTGTCCAATTTCTCTTGTAACCTCAGTAGGGCAGGAGGCATGTAGAATATAGTGGGTAAAACTGGGGTTGTTACAACCCTTCCCCAGCTCCTCTACACTGAGACTAACAGTTCACAAGTGGAAACACTAATTCTAAGGCTGAACTAGGGAGGAGGCTCAGGAGGAAACAGATTGAATCAGGGACATGACAATGAAGACATCTGGAGAGGACTGGAGAGGTTGGAGCCAGTACAGGGAATCCATGGCTAAATCTTAAATGGCTCCTTACTCCCTGTGTAGTGCACTAGGTAGGTCATGAAATAACAGCCCCTACACACGAACAGTGCACTACATATTGAACATTTACATTCATTTATATAAGCTGCATGACTTCCTGTGCTGTATAGGGACTATATAGGGCGCTATACAGGGAGTAGAGAACCATGTGTGATTCAGTCCAGGACAGTTGTGTTGTGATTGTATAGCCTTGGGCCTGTAATCCAGAATGAAAACAGAACTAAATATAGCCGCAAGCGGCAATGAGCAGGTCCAAGCACGCATAAGCCCAAGAAGCTCTCATGCACTTTGAGCCAAATAGGCCTAATCAGGCCTTATGCAGTTTCAAGTCAAGTCAAGTCAAATCAAGTCAATTCAGCTTTATTGTCAATACTGTACAGTATGTACAATATGTACAGGACATACAGAGTATTGAAATTGCGTTACTCTCAGACCCCATGGTGTAGCAATAACATTAAATAGACAGTAAACAGGAAATGTGTGAATTAAATAGACACTAAATAAACACTAAACACTAATCGTAAAAATAAACACTAATTGTAGAAAAATAGAATAATAATAAAAAAATAATAATAATAAAATAAATATAAGGAGGTCCCTGAATTTAACAATAAAGTGACATAAATGACATAAGTGACAAAAGGCACATACAGATTAAGGTCTGTGGGTATAAATAGTGCAGTTATAAACAGTAGTGAAATTAGAATGAGCTTATGGAGCAGTTAAAGTGATGAGTGCGTAACAGAAAGTGATGGGTGCGTAACAGTCCCTGGGAATGTCAGAGTTCAGTATTGGGGAGTGGGGGTCAGGAACCTGCGTTTGGGTCTAAACTTTGTGTGTGGGGGTGGCAGAAGGGGGGGCAAAGTAGGGAGAGAGTTGAGCATCCTGACAGCCTGGTGGATGAAGCTGTCAGTCTCCTCCCTGATGGCAGCAGGCTGAAGAAGCTGTGTAGTGGGTGAGTGGGATCACCTGCCATGCAGAGGGCTTTTCGGGTGAGACAGGAGCTGTATATCTCTTGGAGGGAGGGGAGGGAGGTGCCAACGATCTTCTCAGCTGCTCTCATGATGCGCTTGAGTCTCTTGCAGCTGCACACGGTGCAGGTGCCGTACCACACAGTGATGCAGCTGGTCAGGATCCTCTGATGGTACCTCGATGGCACATGATGGGGGCTGGGGCTCTGGCTCTTCTCAGTTTGCGGAGGAAGTAGAGGCGCAGATGAGCTCTTCTGGCCAGTGATGCTGTGTTGCTGGCCCAGGAGAGGTCCTCTGTGACGTGCACGCCCAGGAACTTGGTGCTTTTCACCCTCTCCGCAGCAGCACCGTTGATGGTCAGAGGAGCATGCTGCTTGCACGTTCTCCTGAAGCCCACAACAATCTCCTTTGTCTTCTCAATGTTCAGATAGAGATTGTTGTGTCCTGAGTTTTAGGCCTTCTAGGCAGAGAGGCTGAAAAGATTCCTGAGTTTATCAACAGGCCTTCATTTGTCATGAACAATGAGCAGGGGGCTTTAAACCTAATATATGTTTACATTTCAATTTACTGATCTACAAAGGTTTGTAGAACATGCAAAAGATTATCAACATAGATGTCAAAAATACATGAGTAATGGTAAAATTTCTGTCTGTGTTTGCAAAGTATTTTGTTTCTTCATGTTAAAGGCTTTGACAAGCATGACATAAGAGACCCAATGCACTCATAAGGGCCCTTTTAGCATAAAGGACCTCAGTGAAAGTAGGTCAGAATTGGTCCAAAGGTCTCCACATGTTATGAAAATTGATCAGGGACCTTCATCAAAGATGTTCACCAAGTTTTGTTCAGATTGACCTTTTGACCTATAATAAGCTGTAGTCTTTAAATGAATAATTCAAAATACCAGACAAGGAGTCCAATTTCTGACATAACATGTAATTACAAAGTTATTCAGATGAGTGAACTAAATCAAAACGACACCTCTTATTTATCTGTAGACTTTGTATTATCGTTGTAATAACATTTTTAAAGATTTTAAGTGGTTTTGAGTGCTAAATCGCCCCCTATGGGCCAATCAGGATCAAATTTGCAAGCCACATCAGAATATATAGACACTTTTGCAATTTTGAGATGATCGGACCAATGACTGATGAATTATAGCAATTTAAGCTAGCAACGTCATGGCCGCAATAATTCAGTGCTGGAGGGGGACCACAATGAGTAAAAAATTGAAAATGTGCTGGATAATTATTTACTTAGAGAGGCTACAGAGTATTTCTAGACCAGTTTTGAGAAGTTAGCTTCAAATTTCACGGACTAGTTCGAAAAGTGCTATTTTCAAACAATTAATGATTGAAAAAAAAACTATGCACTTTTTAAATACACTTATAATGACAAAATTGTTTGGAACACTGTACTGCATGAGGTCATCTAAGTTGTTTGACCAAAAATGAAAATCTGTACAAGATATACTTGATTGTCATTAATAGCGCCCCCCAGTGGCCATATATTGTGAAACTTCACAGGTTGTTAGAAGGCGGTGAGATAGAGACAGGTGTCAAGTATCATGATGTTTGGCCAATGGTAAGCCTGTCAAATGTCTGCGGAAAGCTTATTGGCCAATGACGGCCATAAATTTCAATATATCGAAGTGTCCTTAAAGATTCACTTATAGTCTTTGTCATAGATGGTACTTGCAAAGTTTCAACTTGATCGGATATGCGGATGCTGAGAAACAGCTATGTAGCATTTACAACACCCCCTAATGACATATGCGCACAAAAATTGATAAGCTTCCTCGGAGTCTTCTTAGGAATAAGCCTGTCAAGTTTACGTTTTTTGGATGAAGGATTCTTGAGTTATAGATTTTTCAATTAAATAAGAATTATTTTGATTTTTCCAGAAGGATTAATTAGCATATGGCAGCCATATTGTTTAGAAAATTAAAAATCTGTTTTGCTATGCTGAATTTTTTGACACCAGGATAGGGTGTAACCTGTAGGACTAGTTCGCAAACGTAGTTTTTGCATATTATGCAAATTAGCTCAAAATCTAATTAGGCGGAGCTAAATGGTCCAAATTACAAAGTTGTTTTGTTGGACCCAAGGAATCAGGAAAAAATGCATTTTGCCTGTAATTATTATTAGTTATAGGACCAAACGCATTGTGTTGCGTAATAGCGGTAGCAGGAGGGACTACTACCTATTGACCAAGTTTCATGTCTCTAGGACTTACGAATTGATCTGGGCGATTCATTTTATCGGAGGAAAAGAATAATAAGAAAAACTCAAACAAAAACAATATGGTCCCAAGCACTATGTGCTTGGACCCTAATTAAAGCAGGCCGAAAGGGTACCAAATACTGGCCTTTTTTCATAATGAAAGAAACTGTGCTCCCAGACTTCAGTCTAAAGAAATGAAAAATCTAGCACAGCCAGGCTGTTGGTAAAAATACTTACATATAAGAGGCCAATTGGGGTCTACAAGGGTCTTGCGGTTAGACCTAATTGGCCAACAATTAGGCCAACGTGCCTCCTAACTACATGTGGCTCCTAGATGTGTTGAACTGATTTATAAACAAAACCTAATGTGTGGCCTACAGCAGATATCCTAATCCCGTGGTTCCCAACTTGGTCCTCAGGACCCCCAGAAGGTCCATATTCCTGTTGCGACTTGGGTTGGAGCAAAAATGTGGACTGTCTGAGGGGCCCAGAGGTCTGGGTTGGGAATGCCTGTAGTACAGGATCTATAGTATTATTTCCTTCTTGACAACTACTGTGTTCAACTGAACATTTGTCTTTTGTGAATCAGCTTGAAGATTCAAAAGCTGCTGTGCTGTTCTTTCCTGATGCTGATGTTCTACCACCTCCAGGGGAGCCACGTCCGTGGTGTTCCAATGTCGGCAGAAAGGCACGCAGAAACCCTATGCTGTGAAAATGCTGAAGAAAACTGTGAGTATGCTGACAGATTTTTCTACATGATACACGAATGCTTTCTTCTCCTTGCCTTTGTTCTCACTTCCCAGCGGGAAAGAGGGCTCACAGTTCATCAGTTTTCCCCCTTTAGCTGCAGAGAACTTGAAGAACCTTGCCGCTTTTCTCTCCCATGTGATGGCTTGTAGGTAATTGCTGTCAATCAGTGATGGCTGGAGAACAGTTTGCTTGTATGCATACATTCCCACACTTAACATGTCACAATATATTCCTGTGTTTTTCAAACTAATCTGCCACATTTGAATCAAATAAGCAATTACTACAGACAATCATTTTATACATTTCCCTGTACTTAAAAGAATAGAAAAAACATTGCCTTACACTTACAGAATAATATAAAGAAGTGGGCAGGCGCTAAATCACCTGCCCATTGGCTTCATTTATAAGTGTGTTTTGTGTCAGGTATTTAAATTTCAGAAATACATATAGCCATATCCAAAGTTTTTGTTGATATTCTAAGTGAAAACACATCCTCTACAGAAAACACACTTAAATATGACATTTTTCTGCTTATTTTATTGCACAATTTCTATTTATTTGCTGACTTTAACATATTAGAAAAAATAAAACAAAAAATAACAGTATTGGATTAAAGAGTTATATTCAGAGCCATTTCCGAACATTAGGGGAAAATAAATGACATCCTACCTGAGGGCTCCCACCTTTCCAATCACATTCTTTTTTATGAAAGAAAAGATAAATGATTAATTAATTGATTTTTATGACAAAGGTTAAGAAAATATCTGTTGCGAAGAAAACATTGTAAAAAGAAGAGTTATATGCACAAACTTGGGCACCCATGGCCAAATTACAAGTTTTGTTCATTTGTTGATTTGAAGTGAAAAAAAAGCAGTAAACACAATCACACAATTTTCACCCTGATGTGAAAATCATAGAAAATCTGAATTTAAACAAGTTTGCTGCAGAAATTGTCTTTTTTTTTCACTTCAAAAATCAAAAAGATTGTAATTTGGCCAGGGGTGCCTAAACATTCGCATTCATAATGCATTACATTTGCATTATAACACTTGTAGCAAGAAGAGGCCGGGATTCATTTTTTTTGAAATTACTGTTAATTAAGTAAATTAATTATGCAATGCAAATGAAATTTAATTTACTCACCTCCGTCATGAAAGCAAATCTTTCAACTGTACTGAATTTCCATAGCTCAAATCATAGTATTCTATTACGTCATTAAGAAGACCTCGTTGCCATGCTGCTAGGCAAGCTGTAACTCTTGACTCTCTATTTTTTGTATACTATTTTGCATGCTAGTCTGTGGTTTGGCACACGGAAATAATAATGCAGGGGGAAATCTCAGCTGTTTAGATTTTAGCTTTCATTTGTTGTCACTACAAAAACAAATCAAATGACATCTAGTCAATACACTTAATATATTGGTAAATACTATATAAAATGATATTTAGTGTTTTTTAAAAACATGTTTTACTGCCTTTGCTGGATCTGTCATGGCTTGTTATCTCATTACAAACCACCACAGCACTGCTGAATAAACTTGCCTACCAAAATAGTGGTAGCGTGATTATGGCGTCATCGGAATACTATTCATTGTTTATAAAGTTGTTATAATGTTGCTGTAACTGGGGTTGTTACTCATAAATGATGTCTCAGCCAATAAACCAATTTACTCCACCTGCTCTCCTCCCAGGTTGACAAGAAGATTGTACGAACAGAAATTGGAGTGCTACTTCGCCTTTCTCATCCAAATATAGTGAGTCTAAATGTAAAGTACATCTTAACCTTACTCCTGTGTGGTTCTCTAATGTTCTTTGCTGTTTGAATTCACACACCATCATAGCAACTATAATGACATTTAGAATTATAGAAACTGTATTAGTCTCAGTTTCATAAAAATATACAGTAAGAAGTAAGATTAAATGTCAGACTCTTAAATGTTATATACTCACTTGTATTAAATTACATCTGCAGAGTTAAAGCCGGTCTCTACTATCCACCTCGGAGTTTTATAGGGGGGACGTATGGTTGTTTTTTATTGTTTCTAAATATTTTATTGTTTTTAAAAATTTGAGCCAGATTAATCAATTTTTATAAAAACAGCATATGCATTGAAAGGTAAACCTTGTTTCAAACACTTTCCACTGAAAATATTTTATTTACATGACATTTATAGAACAATTTTGATGACTCTGAATAAAAAGTTACTAAAAATTAATAGTTTTGATTTTGTAAGAAGGGTAAATGGACTGCTCCCCACTTACTTTGGGGCGTTTAGTTATTAAAACTAACTCTCTCTCTCTCTCTCTCTCTCTCTCTCTCTCTCTCTCTTACTCACTCACTTACTCTCTCTCATTTTATTTTATGTCAGATCAAGCTAAAGGAGATCTTTGAGACACCTTCAGAGATCAATCTTGTCCTGGAGCTTGTCACTGGAGGAGAGTTGTTTGACAGGTTAGTTCTCTTAGGGCATTGTATTTATCATTGGAGCCTCACCACATAACATATCCAAACATATCCTGACAACCCTTCTAATTCGATTCTAAGTCTGATTATGTGCTGTTTATCTTGACACTTGACATAACATAGATAATATGCAAACATTTTCTCATCATTTTTCTAAGAAATAGATTTTATCCATAAAATACAAGTGCCTTGATTTACCCCAGGGTTCCCAATCCTAATCCTGGCAACCCCACACTTGACCTCATACGTGATTCAGCCCATCAACTAATTAACAGGTTCCTTGTGGGCTGGGTCCCATCTGTAGAGTAGGGAAAACACAAAAATGTGCAGAACATGGGGTCAGCAGGACTGAGATTGAGAACCCCTGGTTTACACTAATTTACAGTATAAATACTTGCAAGTGAACAGTTACACAGCAATTCTCTCTCCAACATCCACTATATGACATTATGAAAGCCTTAAATATGTCATATATTGTAGTGTACCGCTACTTGCCGTGTGTCGCAGTGAGAGGCTAGGGAGGCATGTCTGTGGGGCACATGAGGAGGCCTATGGGAAGCACATGTTCCCTGTAAAAGGGGACATTTACGTTGCTAATGTCGCTGTTTTTTGGTTTGAAGGTATGTGTATGTGTTCATTGTGTTGTTTTGTGCCGCAGGGTATGGATAGTTTGTTTTGGGTTTTGGCAACAATGGGGTGGATGCCTATGGCTGGTGGTGACGTTTGTATGTGCCTTTCTGCTGGTGTTTAATAAAAGAGCACTTCTCTCAGCAGAATTATGGCTCTGTGTCTTACTGTATGCCTACATCATAATATATGCCACACAGATTACAGACGCCTGAACTGTACTACTGCACACAAGCTTACTTTCATTTTCCAAATCTAAATCCATAAACCACAGCTAATGCATATCTATCAAACATGGGTCACTTTTCAAAAGGCTTTTTCTCAGGAACAATTGATATAAGTGTCTCCGTTCATTTCTCATGGTATGCTGAGGCGTGGCTGACTCACCAGCTCACACTGAGGCTGGAAAATGGTGACGTGAAAATTGGAAAAAGGGCTCAGCCAGCTTTTTAACACTCCTTGTTCAATATAGAATAATTTTTAGCCTAAAAAATTAGGCTTTTCTTCTTGCAGGGTGGTGGAGAAGGGCTACTACAGTGAGCGAGATGCAGCAGATGCTATCAAACAAGTCCTGGAGGCCGTGGCGGTGAGTGACATCAGTGTATCTAAAGCACTTTGTAGTTGGTTCACTCTTCTGATGGACTCATTTGGTTAAAACCACTAAAATGTATCAAAAGAACTTTAAGGCTGATAAGAATTAGAAATGCCAGAGCTTAAGATGAATGTCAGATGAGATAACTATTTTCCATTTAGGTTGTTTACATAAAATGTATAGTATATTTTTTAAATGGATAATGGTTAACCATCAGAGGACATGCTGTTTCTGCTTGTCTCTAGATCTTCTGTCAACAGTAAAATATGAGTTGACTTAACTTTTACAGTATTAAATTAAGTCCTGGATAAAGGTGTAGTGATTTTAATAGGGTATTGAAAATTTACAAAATGAATGTTCGAAACTTTATACATTTATGACTGTATTGCCGATATGCCTCTCTTCTGAGTTTCTCATTTGCTGTCTTTTGTGGAAACTGCTATTGATTGAAACTAGGCATCTGGATGTGTCATAGCAGAGTGAAATGGGGGGTGGGAGTGGCTTGTGCTCTATATGCACCCACTCAAATGACTGGATTTCTCTGAAGATGCTTTTAAATTCTCAAGGGTTGTAAATTTTGAGGTTTACATTGTTAGATGGTTGAAAAGAACTCAGTCCTTTAGGACTGTTCTGAAGCGTCTCAGATGAAGATTCAAAATGAGTTAATTCAGCAGTTGGTAATGCAAGTGCTGTTACTCACTCCCCACTGAGAGGTGATCAGATGGCTCAGATGGCTATTATCTCTTATTCCTCTACCACACTTTCTTCTCTTTCTCTCTCTCTCTCTCTCTCTCTCTCTCTGTCTGTCTCCCTCGCCTTCTCTCTCCCCCATTTTTGTTTACTAGCAGAACTATAATGAGGCTCCTTATAGTCCTTTTCATCTCCATTGCACAACATGCTGTTGTATCACTTTCACTTCATAGCCATGCAAGACTTTTTCTGCTGGACTACATACATACATACTAAGTACCTACGTACAGAGACAGATGTCAGGTCACAGAAACAATATCCGTGTGTACGTGTATGTACAATAGCTTACACAGTTTCATATGTTACCTTTTCCAAATGCGTTCTCGCTTGATGGCCCTGATTTTGCTGAGGATCTCTGTTGCCAGGGAGATGAGATAGTAAGACAGTGGGCATATTTCTCATGCATGGCTTTCAGCTAGGAGAGTTGGCAGCCTGCAATAAAGCAAATGCCTTTCTGGCTCCTACTGGGTCACACAGAACTAAGCAACAGAACAGTGGCGTTAATGCTGCCGCCCCCTTTAGAAGTGACACATCTTTTTTATTTCTTGCTGCATTTTGTCTGGTGTAGTTGTGCTGGGATTTTTCACAGGTTCTGGCTCTGCTTTGTATTTGAGTGTGTACTTGCACACATTACATCACAGTAAGGATGTAATGATACACATATTTTCAAAATAGATTCAATTTTTGATTCTGAGGTCAAGATTTGATTTGATTTTCAACAGTTTTATGAATGTCTTGATTGAACAGTTCTCAAATAGAACTTGCTTGATGCCTGCTGTGCCAGCCCTTTAACAAAACAGGCCCCATAAGCATAAGCCCCCCCTCACTCTCTCCCCACTTTACTTAAATAGAATGCAGTCAGATGCCTAGTTTTGACCACTGACAGTGGTTTCCTAGAAAGACAGAAAATTAGAGATCCATATCAGTGATACAGTTTTTAATTAAGATGCAGTGTTGCAAACATTTTTTTTATTTCTTGATATCAGAATCATTATATCCTTACACCACAGCCATCTGGAGGTCCCAGTGTAGATTTTGCCAATCTGGTTGGCTTGGAATAATAGGAAACCCACACCTTTGGAGTGGAAATTCTTTACAGTCGCTGTTTGAAGTCAGAGACATGCTGGGTTTCTTATTTCTAGCTTTGAGATGTTTGTTGTTATGAAAAAAGGTTGTGCTTTTTCACATTTTCTCTGATAAATGACTTAACCATACTGAGATACAGAGTTATTATAAGAATCAATAATTGTAATGTCGGATCATAACTGAACTAGATTGTCATTATTTTTCATTTTGGTAAACCGCTTTACAGTTGTTTTTCATTATAGATGCAGCTCTTAGGCCTCTGTATTGGTGAACTGTGCATTCATTGACCCAAGGCTGTCATTTAAAGTCAAAAAAGTGTTGCAGTTTGGGCAAAATGTAGAACCATACCCTGACAATAGGGGGAGCTTATGGGGAGTTTATATGATGACCCTCTTGAGAGAGAGAGAGAGAGAGAGAGAGAGAGAGAGAGAGAGTGGAAAAAAGATGGAAAGAGAGAGAGAGAGACAGAGAGACAGAGAGAAAGAATAAGTTACCTTATGTGTGTCAGCTCCACTGAGTTTTACATAGGAAGGAAGAATTCCCATTGGATGGCACAAAAAGATAACACTCCTGCATGTCATCATAATTGGTGTGAATACTGTAATTCTCACACTGAACTGTTTATTTCCAGAAAAGTCCCAGCTTGTGGCTGGACTGCTAACATACCCAGAAGCTGGTGTAGGCTGTATGTTGGATATGTGTGCTTTTGGTTATTTTATGGATAGTGTTCTATACTTACAGATATTAAGATAAACCTGAAAATTCATACCAGAAAAATGTTTCTCCAGTAACAGGCTGTGTTGATCTCCTTTAACAGACACAGATTTAAACATTAAAGTTAATTAATTCATAGAACTTATGATTTATAATATATACCTATAATTGTTGTATGCAATAATAATGTAATTCATAAATAATTTCCATTATGTTCAGTCAGTATTTCTTACTGAAGTATTTTGTTGAAATTCTCCTTGCACCCTGATACCTCAGTCACTAACTCTTGCAGATAGCATGTAGGCAGCCATATGCAGTTCCACTGTAAACAGGCAGACTTCTTCTGGTTCGTGCTTCTGTGTTTAAGAAGTTTCCGTGGTAACACTCTTATCCAAGACATTGGCAAGAGCCCTATAAAACCATGTCGCTGCTGTACTCCTTTGCTGTTAACACAATGAAGGCCCTCCTAGTCATTGTTCCTTTAATACCTTATGCTTTGTCTTATGGTATGGAAGCAGCACGCTATAACATTGTTTTCCGAAAGCAGATTTATTTCCATTGTCCAGGGAGCTTATTTGTGAAAAAGAGTGGTTGAGTTTACGCTTAGGCTACTTCCTCAGAATTTTCCCACTATTACAGTGTTAATGCAAATGGTTATGTATTAAAACTTTTCTGTAAAACTTTTTAAATACATTACAGTGTTCAGTAAAGCTGTTTGTCCTATTAGAGAAAACATTGGGAAAATTTGCCTGTAACTAAGCTTGTACAATATCATCATGATCTAAAGGTATGAAAGTTATGAAGTTATGAAGCCTTACACTCAAAAAAATGAAGCGTTGGATTTTCTCAAAAATGTTATGCCAAGTGGTTCCTCACAACTGTGTTAAGTAGATTTAGTTTAGCTTTAGTAGTTTTAAGATACTTCATTGAGTAATATGTATTTGATGAACTCAAGCAAATCACAGTAGTGATTTGAGTAAGTTCTAGTTAAGTGGACTGATTATTTTTTGTATTACCCAAAAATGAAAGGTCAGATTTACTTAAAAATGTCATCTTTAGTGGTTCCACAAAAGTGTGTTAAGTAGCTTTTAGGATGCTTAGTTGAATAATATGTTTTTAATAAAAGTAGAATAAAAACAAAATGTGAGGTTTAAGTTAGATTTGCATAATTCATTAAGCTGTTACTGTGCTACTGAGCTGATGTAGAATTACACTCAGCAGCAGGGTGCATGGTAACTTGCCCTTATAGCCAACAATAATGTAGACGAAGAAATTAATAAACAACACGATAAGGGTGAGTAAAACAAGTAAAAGAATATATAAATAGGTGATGCCTGGAGGCAATGGGAAAGAGTTCGAGTTTTACTTAACAAGCATACATTGATCAAACAAACACTTAAGAAGTAAATCTGCCAACTCAAATTAATTAAAATAACACAATTGATGTCAAAATTGATGACAAAAGATGTCATACGATGCTGCTAATATCCTGTGGTTCTCCATGTTGGTTGGAAAAACCAAATATAAAACTAAAATATTGCCAAACTGGAGCATTGTTACACTTCTTCTCTAACAGAGAGCAGATTTCATGCACTAGGGTTTCTTTGTTTCATTTGCATGTTCCCTAGTATTTTTGCCAGACCTGAAATCTACATTTAAATCTTTCCAAGTAGCATTCAAAGTATGTATGTGTGTATGTCTGTAGTAAATAAGTTGGTGCTGTGTTTGTTTTGACCTATAATTAAGTGTAGTCTTTTGTATTGTAAATATGTTTTGAACTAACCATGGATTAGAGTGGTTATACAAAAGGAATGGATAAATTAAGGTGAAGCAAGAAAAAAATGTGAAAGAGACCAAAACAACAACAATTTGCTTAATTTCGGTACTTATTTAAATTATTGCGACACGTTATCAATTATCTACCTAGGCTTTCTGCTACATCAAATAAAAACCAGCTTCCACAATTAGAGATTTGCTCTCAAAGAAGTGCAACAGCTCAACTAAACACTGTGATGGGTTTCATTTGAATTTGCAGCTTAATAATGCTCTGACCCACTGTTTTGGAGAATAAAATTCTCATTAGTTTAAGGTAGCACTTGAATTCAGTGCATGACTCTCTTTGCAGGAGGATGACCACAAGGTGGGTAGATAAAATTGGTTATATATAAAGCAGGAAATGAGGCTGTAGAGAGGTTGAAGTGACCGCTATCTGAGCAAGGAAAGATTCAGAGATCAGCAAAGAGAGATTCTGGTGATTCCTCTGCTCTAACAAACCTACAAAACCTAGTAATTAACTATGGTTGAGTTGAGTTTAATCAGATGTTTTAACTGAGCTCCTTAGTGAACCAAAAGTGGTTCTATAGCATAGCTCCAAAAAACTTTTTTGGCATCTTTATTTTTAAGAGTGTTCATTTATGTTTACAGTAGTAGGGCTTGGAATATCAAGGGCTGCACTATCTGTAGGAATGCATAGGCAGGCATATTACCACCTTATTTCAGTAATGAGATCTAACTGTTCAGGTATATGGTTGGAACAAAAACATTTTAAAAATTAGGTGTTTCCTTTTAATATGTGGCTAAAAGTCATTTGCAGAAACTGTATACTACATTTAGTTCAAATGCATTCTCCCTTCAGTATGACCCCAATGACATCTGAAAAAATTTAAGAACTTACAAACATCAGATCTTAAGGTGCCTGTGTAATCTTTAATACAGTCAGAAAGTTTAAACAGCCCATAGCCTACTTTTTTATTTTAATTTCCCCTTGAGGTCATCTTTCAATATTTGTGTGGCTTTATTTACCAAAATTGTCCTGTTAAATTTTTACATGACCACTTTCCAACCTCTGTTTATCCTTCAAAACTGTGCCTTGTTCAAAAGCACTTGGAGCTGAACCATTCCTTGTAACTTAAGCATGAATGGACAGGGCTAAACTGCTAGAGGTTGAAAAGGCACATATATGGAGTTGGTTCTCATGACATCAAGAAAACAGTGAATTCAAAATGGGCTGTCTTAGCAACTTAGTTTCCATACATAGACTGTATGGACTGGGGAGTGAATGATAAGTTTTGAAACTTTAACCCCTTAAATGACCAGGGCACACTAGCAGGCCCAAAGTTTTATTACAAACTTCTATAACCTAAAAGTAGCTCAGCCAGTTTGCTTTGAAGTCCCTGTAGTAACTGAATAATAAGCCTTAGTATGTAATATGCCTGGGATATTAAGGGGTTAACAATGTTTACGTATTACTTCAAATTCCTTTATTTTAATTCTATTCATACCATTCACTGCCCAGTCCACACAGTGCAGATATGTAAACTAAGCTGAAAAAAAAACAGTCAGTTTTGAATTAATCGTCTTTGCCATTAAATACTTACATATAACCTCTTATATATCCTATAGCAGTTTTGCCCAGGCGTGTTTCAGCCTGGACTATTTTTGAATGAGGCACAATACAGTTCAGCAAATCACAACAGAGGTTGTTTACACATACTCAGAAGTAGTCTTGGGACACCTCTATTATCACTTGTTTTTTTAGAATTATAATGTTCGGTAATGTATACGGAAATTTGTGCTTTGCCTTTTTTTAAAAGTACATAATTTCAGCTATATTACAACATATCAATCAATGTTTTGGGTCAAACTACACGAAAGCCAACTAAAAAATGATAAAATATCTGAATCTGTCAAAAACATTGTTTTTTGGTTACATGATGTCTGAGTACAAATATATGAATTCCAAAATCAAGCATGAAAGCAGTCTTGAAAAGAGACAAGAAGTGTTCAAAAGTTCTCAAGTTTTGGCCATTCAAAAGAGAAAACCCAATAAGCTTGACTGAGTATCAGTTGTGCAAACTCATGCACTCTGTGCCTAGAAGACTTTAATCTGTCATCATAAAGAAGGGACATGCAGACAAATACTAAATAGTACCCTACATAAACAAAAGGGACTCTAATGTTTATCCCACTAATGTTTGAGTTTGAGTAATGTTTGAATCATTTTGAGTTTCACTTCATAAACCTAATTGTTTTTACAGGTTGTCAAAACTTTTCTGACGGATACAAAAGACTAAATAATAACCTTACCTTGAAAAGTAAAAAATAAACAAGTTTGAAAATTCTATTCGGAGAGTGTCCCAAGACTACTTTAAGCACTGTGTGAGTATTTAATTCTAAGCGGTGAAGAGAGGTCGGAAAATGCTCATGTAAAAATGAATTATGACTACCTAACACCACAGAAATTTTGAACCTTGTAGGAAAATTTAGAAACAAAAATAGGATGTGGGCAAAAGAAAAACAACAAGAAGAACAACATTCTCTTTGTAAATGTGTTGGGTATCACTCTCAGCTATTATAAATCTATTCACTGCACATGTTCACAAATATTCTTCTTTTAATTGATCCTTCAGATTGATGTACACATTAGTTCACATAAATGTGTGAGAATTTGTTGTTTGGAGTCACGCAGGTGCCTGTAAAAACAGCGCAAGGTACTGGAGATTAACAGCAGGCCACCCGCCCGAATCTCTTTTTTCAGTACCTGCATGAAAACGGTGTTGTTCACCGGGATCTGAAACCCGAGAATCTCCTGTATTCCACCTCAGCGCCAGATGCTCCTCTGAAAATAGGTATGCATATGCCTCTCTGTTTCACCAAGGAACTGTGTCTTGATGGGATATTCCTTGTTAGCAAAGTAGGCTGTGGGGATGCAACCTGAGGAATTCCTACTTGGACTGCAGAGGGTCATTTTTTCGTAAACATTTCTGATGTGGTTTTGATTTCAGCTGACTTTGGTCTATCTAAAATCATGGATGATCAGGCGACAATGAAGACAGTGTGTGGAACCCCTGGATATTGTGGTGAGCTTGTTAATAAGGCCCCCATTCATTGTAGGCCATCTGGTTTCCACAAACTCCCAAAAGAGTAGAAAGCAAAACATGGACAACTCCCTTTCCTTTTCTCCAGCCTTTCTCCTCTGGTTCTGTTTGTCTCTTCCAGCTCCAGAGATCCTCCGGGGATGTGCTTATGGGCCTGAAGTTGACATGTGGTCTGTGGGAGTTATCACATACATCTTGTAAGTGACAACTTCCCCATTTTAAGCTATTCTTCCATAAGTGATGTGCTCGGTCAGGACTCTCTCTGTTAACAAGACTGCTCTGAACAGCCTCAGATGTTTGAATGAAAAAGTCTGTGTAATGTAACTTTGACAAGACAGAGAGACACTTGTGTGACTAGCATGAATTCCATGTTACATACCACGGACAAGCTGGAGAGATAAAGAAAATCATGTGACCATCTCTGTAAACTCTCTTATTTATAGATAGATTAGCAATTGTGTTAATAACATAAGAATTGTAGACTGAGTTGTTTGTTTGTCAAGCAATTAATTCCAAGCCACAGCTTTTCTCAAAATGCACCACTTTGTCTTGAATGGGCTGCAACAGTGGAAGACGATGTCAGATGGCAATGTTGTTAGTGAAGAACAAGAAAGCATGTTGAATAGTGGAAAAAAGTTGCCTGGTCAGATGAATCCAGGTTTCTTCTGCATTCTGCTGATGGACAGAACATAATTTGTGACAAGCAAGACCAGTCCAATGACAACAACATAGAGAGAGATATTGAAGTAGGGTTCCGTGCCAACTCATAAACCCCTCATTTACAAAGAAGAATGCACATTTGAGAGCTCAGTGGTGCAAAAATAATAGGCACTGGTCTACATATATGTGGAAAATAGTGATATAGTCAGATGAGCCATGGGTGAGTGCATGTGTGGCATGCACCAAAAGAACAGTATGGACTTGAATGCTTGACCCCTACAGTAGGTCTGGTGGCAAATCAGTTCAACATTGTACTGACTGATCAACTTTATCCTGTGATGAAATATTTCTATCCTGATGTGACTGTCTTTTCCAGGATAAAAATGCCCCTATCCACAGGGCACAAGGGGTCACTAAATGGTTTGATGAGTACAAAAATTATGTAAATCATAGTTATCAGATCTTAACTCAGTTGAACACCTGAGATTTTGGACTTACATGTTAGACAGTGGACTCCACCACCATCATAAAAACAACAACTGAGGGAATATCTTATTAAACTAAAGGTGGGCCACTAGGTCATTCGTCTCTTCCCAAAACGAAAGAAAAGGGGCAGCATCACCCCAATCCTCGCACAAAGCTCAAGAAAAACAGTAGTGGTAAAACTGTGTAGAAAAGTCTGAAAAGAGTTTGATTGCTACAGTGAAAGTGCATTTAAAAGTAGTGATTTTAAGTGGGGTCACTATGGCAACCAGCAAAACTGCTGTTTTCAAATGCGCTTATTTCACTCACAGGTTCTGATAAAGGTTTGAAAATGAATTTGTCTTATGAATGTATCATCTTATGAATTTATATCGATCCTAGTGTTGAATAGCTGGTAACTCAAAGACACACAGGTACGTATAGTTAAAGGCCAGAACACACTGACAGGACAAACATGAACCTTCTAATGTTTGCATTTGTCCATAGAATGTTCTGAAAAAGAACTAAAATGAACTAGAGTGAATGGGAACAAAACATTCTAAACTCTTACACCAACGAAATGTTTGTGTTTGTTCATGTTTGTTTATATTTATACAATCGATGTACTCAGGCCTTAAGGGAAGCAGCAGAAGAGCACGGCTTGTCTGGTAGTGACGCTGTCCATTCTAAACCTAAAGGAGGACAAGTGTGCATGTAATATCACAAGAAAAAACGATGTCTGTAAATCAAAACTATCAATTAAAAGATTAATTTTACAAGGGCGATAACAGTATTCACAAGTGGTATGTGTTTTTAGAAGATTTGTTAGATGCAGAGATTATTTTAATAAATGTGCTATAACTAAACCCTGTTTTAGATATTTAGGCTATATTTGGACACATTTTGGGTCAGTTTTGGGCCACGTTTGCACTGCTGAGTGGAGCAGCAAGAAAGTTCTACAAATATCCTTTGGATAATGTCATGCCTCCAGGTCCTCCTCCCCTGCCTAACATGCTCCAGGACTTCATTTCCCAGAATCCCAATCCTCATGACATCATCCCTTCCACCAATCACAGACCTCTGCCTCGTTCTCAGTCACCTGAACACTAATTCAACACACTGTACCCGTTTGCCTTAGACCTTGGAAGGTTCCTGGTTTGTTCTCCTCTTTGTGAGGTATTGCCACACTACTGGTTACTGAGTGTTTATCTTCTATTTTCATGACCTGTGTACTGAACCCATTGCCTGTTTCTCGATTGTTTCTCTTTTGGATTTGCCCTTATTGCTCTGGTTGCCTGTGTTTTTGTATTTTCTGGTTTTTGACTTTTGTCTGTTTTTGGATACTGTTTTTGGATCTGCCCTTTCTGCTCTGGTTGCCTGTGTTTTTGTATTTTCTGGTTTTTGACTTTTGCCTGTTTTTGAATACTGTTTTTGGATTTGCCCTGACTTCGTTCTCTCATTAAACCAACTTTTGTTTTTAAGATCCACAAGCGTCTTTCTGTGCTTGTTCAGCGTTACAGATAAACAGTCTAATCAGTCAAGCACAGAATGTTTAACTAGTTTTTTGTTTGATAACGGTCATGATTGAGAGAATTTGCACTTTTAAAAGTCACAAAAGTGTATGATAATGAAAAAAGTTATAATTTACATATATTCACCCATGATTCCTGCTCTTACTTAAAAGTCCTTTCTCCAAATTAAATGTCTGTCATCAGATTAGTACATAAACTTGAGAAGAAAAAAAAAAACATTGAGAAACACTGCTATAAATGACACAGAAATAAAAGAACAGCATTGCTCCTGTACTGCAGTGTAGTATTATATACATTTTAAGGATAATCTCTAGTGTGTACCTTATTGGGTCTTGTTACTTTTAGCTGGAAACACAAATATTAGATTGCAATTGCTCTCTAGTTGTGTTCATGTTAATTTCATTCCATTGTTTGTTTTGGTTTCACAATTCTACTCAGTTGTCAATAAGGAATGAAAGAAGGAAGACTTCGTAAGTTAGCCAGGCTTGCTTAGTTAGCTATACTTAGCCACATACCTCTAAGTAGACATGTGATTTTACCAGTTTATTTGGTAATCTGGTTTTCCACAATATTTTGCTCTCATCTTGTATTATTAGTTTAGGAAATGGGTAAATTTCACTCTCTACTTAAAATTTACTTTTACATTTATGGCATTTAGTATGTCAAATGGTAAATAGGTATCTCAAGTATCTGATTTCTGGGATATTGGTTATCTGATTTTACAAATGATATAAATCTAATTTACAGCAAAAATTATACAGTTCTGAAAGCTTGTCAAAAGTGTTTATTTTGTAAAACAATAGAATTATACAATGTGCAGTTAATTAACTTCTGCCTTATCTATTGGACAGGTATTACAATTTAAACATGAATATTCTGTCACTTACAGCTTAGTAATGTAGAGAGAGGTTTATCATTCATGATTGTTTAACGCTGAATGTTTCTCTTCTCACAGACTGTGTGGCTTTGAGCCGTTCTTTGATGACAGAGGGGACCAGTACATGTTTAAGCGCATCCTTAACTGTGAATATGAATTTGTCTCCCCCTGGTGGGATAACGTGTCTCTCAATGCCAAGGACCTGGTGAGTGAACATGTTTCTTCCTCACTGTGAGACAATTCCAAGAGCACAAGGACCTTCATTCCATATGCTCTTTAGATCTGAAAGAATGGGATGTCACAGATAAGGATCAGAAATGTGAATTTAAGGAAAAAAAATATGGAAGTGGAGCATTTTTCTGTATTACTCTTGCATTGCTCATATCAACAGCATTTCCCCTGTCCTCAGGTGACGAAACTGATTGTCCAGGATCCAAAGAAGCGTCTGACAACGCTGCAGGCTCTGCAGCACCCCTGGGTGACTGGGAAGGCTGCTAACTTCACCCATATGGACACAGCTCAGAAGAAGCTCCAGGAGTTCAATGCCCGGAGAAAGCTCAAGGTTGGGAGATTTATACTCAGTGGCTCACGTACTCATTAAGGGTATATAATGATATTACATATTTTTAGGTTTAAACTTGAGTTTCAGTATTTTTTGAGATTTTATGAGGATGAGATTTGATTTTCTGATATTTTATGCGTTTAAAATATTTTGACTTTCTAGAGCTTTAACTGAATATTACACAGATTGGGTTGGCTCAGAAAAATCCAAACTTTATTTCAAAACAAAAGATGCAAAGCAGCATAACCTTGTGCAAAATAGTAATCTTAAATAGTAACCTTTTATAGCATGTCCTCATTTTCAACCCCCTGAAATTGAAATATCACACAAAAACACAATTAAAATATTTGCAGAATGTATGCTGAGTCTGACATTAAGCATTAAGTTACAGGTTCAATTTTATTATAATTTTTACTCTTATTAACTAAAAGCTTCTTGAATGAGGTTTTTAAATTCCGATACACTTCAAATGTTTATTTTATCTGAATTTCTGGTACTGTACTGAAATTGTCACCTCCTTTTTACTCATGGGGATACTCAGGTATACTCAGCACATATTCTTTCCACCTGAAGCATACTGTAGCATGTTCTGAGATGTCAAGAATAAAAAAAATTACAAATTTCTGGTTCTATATGCAGATAAACATCTTGCTTTGGTCTCTTGTCAGGCTGCCGTCAAAGCAGTGGTGGCCTCCTCACGGCTGGGCAGTGCCGGGGGCCATGGCAACACAGATGGCAACAAGACCAACTGCAACCATTCCGTCCAGCAGGGGGGGGGAGGCGAGCAGCCTGAGAAAGAGCAGCCTGAGCTCCACAATGAAGATATATAGATGCGCATGGAGCCACACTGGAACAGGGAAGTCATCCTTCAAAGAAAGGAAAATGTTGCTTTTAACAGTGGGTTTGAACTGAGACAATGTGGTCCACCTCATTAAAGGACTGAAAGGATGGACTTTGTTCTTGGTTCGCATTGCATGTGGATGGCTGATTTTCTTTAGAAAAGTCCCAAGCAGACTCTGCAAAAAAACCAAACAAACAAACAAACAAACAAGCAAACAAAAACAAAGCTACACCATTTAAAATACAAACTCGTCTCAAAATCTCTTATCATGTATGTGCAAGTTAATAAACCAAGTGCAGTTTGTTAGGTGAACTCAGTGGTTCAACTAAGATCTTATGAGCAACACCCCACCCCAACCCAACCCCACCCCAACACCCCACCCCAACACCCCACCCCACCCCAACACCCCACCCCAACACCCCACCCACCACCCCACCCCACCCCAACACCCCACCCCACCCCACCCCAACACCCCACCCCACCCCAACCAATCAATAAATAAATAAATAAATACCTTGAAGGACTCAATAAAAAATGACTGTACAATTTCTTTATGCATTTTAGCCATGTCATAACCAAGTGTATGAAAGTTATTGTACCTTGCACCATGGCTCATTTAAAAACTGTGTAAGAAGTGATAAAAGTGGTCCAGCAAAAACACTGGGGACCTGGTCACCATAGGCCTCCTGCGCTACAGGCCTCCTGCACCATGGGTAGTTGCACCACTGGGTGAAGTGAATGCTTTTCCTTGAAAAGCTGATTATTACACTTCAGTTTATTAGTATTCTCATGATTAGACTATAGACCAACAGAACCATCAAATTTTTAATTCTAATTTTAGGTTGAAGTAACAGTAAGCTGCTTTGTCACAAACATTTTTAAATTGGATTAGTTCTATATGCAATATACAGTACATTCTGTTTGGGATATAAATAGCACAGTTTCCATATGATCACTTGACTGAACATTTACCAGAGCTTCAAAGGAGAATGCCTTATTATCAACCAGGTTTTTACTCTTTATTGGACAGAAGTATTTCGTATTATAAGGATTAGATTAGATGGTGTGGTTTGCATTGGAATAGTCGAACAGCATCAACAGGACTTAAAGCAAAGTTTGTTCTGTATTAGCAGCAAGTTTTTGTTTTTTACTTTTGTATAAATCAACATGTCTGTATGGGTAATACAACAAAACTGCAAGGGAATTCATATGCTCAAATTCATAGTCCTGTCCCCAGTACCAAAAACAAACTTCCTAAGTTATATTCACAATGCCCAGTATCTGCCATGCTCAAAAGTTTTCCTTTTGTATTTAAAAACTGTTAGGCTAAATGGCCTATTATAGTTTAGCAAAACTGACACAAAGTTTTAATGACTAATAAGTTTACAGGCAAAAAATAGTTTGAAAATGTTTGAATGTAATGTACTTTATAGCATGCTTTTTATGTAAAGTATCAGGGAATGCTGTCTAAGAATTATTTGATAAAGATGTGCAAGGAATGTAATTTGGATATCCTGTATAAGGGATGCTCTGCATGTAGAGTGTTTAACCTAACTGCTGCAATTGTATTTTTAAAAAGCACTGTATTTTACTGATGTGAATTATACTCTGTGTTAAAACAGTATGATTTTAAAGGCTGTTTGAGGGCCACCTCATATAAGACATGAAAGTGTCAAATTTGTTTATCTGCCTGTTTCTACGTCGAGGGATGCATTTTAAAATGAACAGTGATACTCTACATTAGTTGCAGAAATAAATGCAAATAAATCAAAAACACTGATGTGTGGAGCATGTTTAGAAACGTGGGATAGAGCATAACAGAAAGGGGCAGATTTTCAGAAACATATTTGCTTAGCCTTGGACAAACTTTCAATATTTTTACTTTCTTTCTTTTATTTTTAAGTTCTAGACTAAATTTAATCTACAGTCATAAGCAAGTTTGGGTGCCCCTGGTCAAATTACATGTTTTGTTGATTGTCTAAGTCAAAATAAGCACACATTCTAACAGAGAACACACTCCTGTACATGTTAATGCATGGTTACTATGTTTACTTGCTGAGTTTGACAAATTAAAAAAAATATTTTGTTTTATTTTTTTCCATTACGTTAAAACGGGTTTTGGGCAGCAGGAGGCGGGCATTACTGCTAGAGCGTGATGATTGATTGGCGAGCGGAGCAGCTTATTGGCTGTTCGCGCTCACTGACGTCATGGACCTACATGAGGTGCAGTTTTAAACTCCTATCACTCGAGTTTAAAAGCTCTTAAAAATATAACAGCAGTGTTAAAATGTTTTATGTTGTTCTGTTTTCAGGCAGTCATCGCATTCTTTTACATTAAAAATGTCAGCATTTATAAACTATGATTTGTTTGAATGCTCCATATCAACCCATTCATTTTGGGCTCACTTGGGAGCTCCCTCTAGCGTTTGACAAAACCGGAAGACATTGCAGAGTGGTAATTCTCCTCTCTACAAGTTCTCCGCTCACGCTCAGATACTCATACGGACTCCATCTCCCAGAACTCTCTGGGAGATCACCTGACTTATAACAGGTCCTCGCGCTCCAATCAGCGCTCTGGATCGCCGAAGTACTAATATTTGTCCCCTGTGTCATTAGTCATATGACTTACTTCGTTTAGTATATAAGCCCGGGCTTTAGCATTAGACAGTTGTGAGGCGTTGTATCCATTTGTGATCCATTGAGCGTCCTATGTATTTGTTTGCATCTTGACCATTGCCTTTTGTTCTCTCGATTCTGACTTTTGCTCTGCCCCTTGGATTGTTTGCACATATCGACCGATTCCTGTTTTTGACCTTTTTGCCTGTTTTTCACAACGCCTTTTTGCCTCTCCGTTTTGGACTGTTCGCCTTGTGTTGTTCATCTGTTTATACTTGCTATGCCTGTTTGACACCTGCCTTTTTTGTGGCTACGACTCTGGATTCTGAATCTCACAGTAAAGCCTCATTTGTGTTTCCCATGCACGAGCGTCTGATTCTGGTTGGCACGTTACAGAAGCTCAAAACCACGTCATTTGACTGGGGATATTCAAACTTTTGCGGTTTGCAAAAAAAGATGCAGGTCATGTTATCCAATAAAAGCTATAAAGTCAAGCTGAAATCAAAACAATCTACCTTAGTTCATGTACTTGGTCATATTGAGCATGATTCATCATATAATTCAAAAAGCAATATTCTTGCTTTCTTGTAATCTTTGATCACCACATAATGACATTTGCCCAACCTCTGAAAATATCACCATGGACTAATGGGCAGGAGAAAATAATATTAACCAATAAAAACATGCTTCAATGCCCACCCTCACCTATCATCAAGCTCAGCTAGCTTTCTAATACTGTGTTTCCCTCAGCAATACATCACAGTATACATTATGTATATGATTCCTAATTGCATAGGAATCATGTACATGAAAAATTTTAGACTGGTTTTAGGCCACATCATCGTACAGAGACAGCACTAGTGAAAATTGTAAACAATCTTTTATTATTCTCTGACCAAGGAAAAGTGTCTTTGCTAGTCCTCCTCGATCTTAGTGTGGCATTTGACATGACAGACCACTCTATACTACTAGATAGACTAGAAAACTTTGTAGGGGTAACAGAAATAGCTCTTTCCTGGTTCAGATCTTACCTCACTGATCGCTATCAGTTTGTAAATGTAAACGGTGAATAATCTGTTCTTGCAAAAATAGTGTTCCACAAGGCTCTGTTTTAGGACCTATGTTATTCACATTATATATACTACCACTGGGTATCATTATCAGTAAACATGGTATCAATTTCCACTGCTGTGCTGATGACACACAGTTATAAACAGCAAGCAAACCAGATGATACGTTTCAACTTAGCAAGATTGAGGACTGTATAAGAGACATAAAAGACTGGATGTCGAATAACTCTCTCCTACTTACCTCAGATAAAACAGAGGTTCTGCTTCTTGGTCCAAAAGCTGCTAGAAGCAAACTGTGTAATTTGACACTTAAACTTAATAGTTTCTCAGTTGCGTCGGGTTCATCTGTAAAAAAAATCTTGGTATCCCGATAGATCCCGATCTGTCCTTCGATGCACATAGCAAATATTATTAGAATAGCCTTCCTGCATCTCCGCAATAGTGCTAAATTAAGAAATGCATTATCTCTACAGGATGCAGAAAAGCTAGTTCATGCATTTATTACCTCAAGGCTAGATTACTGTAATGCCCTGCTCTCTGGATGTTCCAGCAAAAGCCTTAACAAGCTTCAGTTAGTCCAGAAAGCTTCAGCCAGAGTCCTCACAAGAACCAGAAAGTTTGATCATATCAGTCCAGTTTTATCAAACCTACACTGGTTGCCAGTTAAATTCTTCATCGATTACAAAATTCTTTTACTGACATAAAAAGCTCTAAACGGACTCACCCCTCAGTACCTGAGTGAACTTCTCTTATACTATGAACCATCACACCTACTTAGATCACAAGGTGCTGGCCTACTATTAGTACCTAGAACTAATAAAGTTAAATTAGGGGGGAGGTTCATACAAAGCCCCCCAGCTTTGGGATAATCTTCCAGTCAGTGTTGACTTTAAAGTCATTTGAATGACAGTTACAGAGGTCATGATGAATTTTTAACCTTGCTTAAATATCTTGTTTGAGGAATTCAGAAGGGCTACAATACTGGTTAATGACCGATAATGTCTCTTGTGTTTACAGTCACTTAGCAAACCTTGAGAATGCCTGGGCTGTGACTGAAATTTTTTTTCTACTTACTTTTCTTTGTTTTCTACCTACATGTTTGCTAATATTCATTTTCCCCCTGAATACTGCATCTGCTAAAAGATGTGAATCTGAACTCATAACACATTTTCCTTCTGTCCTGTGACATATTTTCAAATAGGCTATTAGGGAGGGTCTCTGAGCAGGCTGACCGTTTCACTTGATGATAGGTGAAGATGGTTGTAGTAAAAGATAAAACATGTTAAGCTAGTGCGCTATGATATAATCAAAAATCAGAAGACATTTTAGAGACAAACAAAAGTTTCAATGGAAAAACACAGGAAAACAAGAATTGTGTGTTTGAACTAATATGATGAATCATGCTATAGGGGAATTACACCAATTTTTAAAACTTTTCTGCATGGTTAAAAGGTTCAGATGCAAACAAGATCATTCAGGCAGGTTTCATATGAAATGCTCCTATCTACAGAAATTTACAGATTTTTTCAGTGTTAGTGATAGGAACCAGACATCCGAATGGTTAAAATGCCTCTAAAAGTTACTTCACAGAAAGTTATTACATGAAATAGTTATGCTGCCTGAAACTTGAGACATTGTTTTACAATAGTTTTGCCCTAAA